TTAAAATTACTTGAATTGCATAAATTTTTTAATATATAATATTGTACAGGGTTAATGATTAAGAAGTTTTTATTAATTTTTAAGATATTAAGTGTTGTATTGAGCAAATCAGTCTTAGTTATTGAAGAATTAATTGCAAAAAGCAAATTTATTGAATGAAGAATAAATTTTAATTTTTGAACTCTTTTCATGTGTAATAGAGTCTTGATAATATTGTCAAATAGTATTGCCAAATATTGCCATATTTTAATATTAATTTCATAAAATTTTAATACATTATTATAAATAATAATTAAAATTTTAAATTGTTAAAGTTATCATGATAATGTTGGCGTGTTAAGATACTATATTATTTGATTAACATTTTAATCATAGAAAGCATTAAAAAAACAAAAATTAATTTTTATAAAATCGTTTAATATTTAAGATTTTCTGGCGTGTAATTTTTTTAAATTTTATTATATGATTATTAATTATCATGATATTAACAATATTATTAAATTATTTTGAAATTTCACGATTGAACAGTGATTCGCGGTTATGTGAAAGATATAATGAGCACATGTGAATATTATTGGTAGAGATGTTTACGAAGAATTTAATAAAGTGACTTAAGAACATAGTCTTAGTTGAATCTTTCACATTAAGAAGTTTATTTCAATTTGTAGTGAAATTTAGGAAATTTAATGCTGATACAACAATAATAAAGCGGTGTATGTATCAGTGTAGTCGTTGTGAGAGGAATATGTTTTATACATCATATATTGTGGATTTCGGTATTTCCTGTTTTCAAGAAATTAAAATGTAAAATTACCCCAATGATGTACTCTGCTTTAAAAAAACAACAAGACTAGTTTGAAATTTTTCTTATCTATTTCGAGAAAACCTTAAAATTACTTATAATTTCATATTTCTTCTCATTCAAAGGAACACATCTTATTAATAGGGATCTTATTTAAAATTTCATTTTTATTGAGATGAATTGATTAATTAAAGCAAATTGAATATAACAAAAGATTTTCAAGAAAGAAAAATATGGCCGTTAATCATAAATAATCTTATAGTAGTCATTTACTAATTTAATTGATTCTGAAAGTGTATGCGTTTTATACTAACACCAATACTTCCATTAAAATTTTTAATGCCTGATACTGGACCAAGTGGAAAATTTCTAAATTTTCGGAATTAGTACAAAATCGGCATAAAAACAATGTTCATCTTTGTGAAATCGGAGTGAACATTTGTTCTATAAATGAGACGGAAACTATGGTGTAATGAAATTTTAAATAAAAAATTTTTTTTGGTGTTGTAAATAATTGCATCAGTATAAACGCCTAATTTGCCAGATAAATTTCAATTATATGCTGATAATATTATTTATCTTCCATTTTATTTTAAATTTACTATTAAAATAATTTCAGTATAATTGTTTCTATTAATATTTTAATCTCATACAACAATTTTCTTTCCCTCATTTACATGATTTCAAATGTTACATAATTTCTAATTTATCTAGGTGTGTTTACGGCAACACTATAAAATTATTTAATTTTAAAATTATTATTTAATTATTTTGATTTTCTACACATATTTTAAAGTTAAATTTTATTGCTTTAGGGTGGTAATTTTTGAAAATTATTGAAATTTCAACACCCTCTCATTATAGGCAAAGAAAAAAAGAAATGAAAAACCCTTTTATCTTTTTGGTCTTTTATTAAAATCTTAGTTATTGTTTAGTGTTAAAATGGGTCTTTTAATGTTTTAGTTTTAGTTTTTTTTTCTTTTGAGGAAAATTTACATAAACAAAATTTTTAATAAATTTTCTTTCACCTTTGCTTTTGTTTTAGTTTTTCTTTTAAAAGAAAATGTTTCATTATTTTTATGACTAAATCAACTTTTATTGAAATGGACGAGTTGATGTTAGATCACGATGATAAAATTTATATGCTTTTTTTTTTGGAAAATCTTTTGCATATATTGTAAAGCATGTAATGAATCTATATTTTTTATTTTTCAATTTAAACTCGATACACAGGGTGTTTATACATGCTATGCAGTGGCTATGCGTTATTGAAAGAGCTGGTAATGATTTTATTTAAATATTTTATTGGCAATGGCTTTTGTTCTCTTCAGAATATTTAAAACTTCTCCTATTTTCGGAGCAAAAAGAACCATGGCTAATATAAGCTTTTTTTTGTATGCGTAATGGGTCATATACTCGTACGTCAACCAGTTCTGTAAAAGTCGGTTTTTTTACACAGGTAACAGGAATTTCGATATTTAATGCACAGAAATTTTTCTAATATTCAGGAAGATATTTTATTTTAATTGATTGCAATTCCAGAAAATATATTACGTAGTTAAATGGCAGTTTTCAGTCGTTCGGGAGGAGACCAAATGCAATTTTTCTTCATTCTTTTATCCAAGTGGAAGAATTCATTAGTACGCTTTGAAAATTAGGAAGAAATTATTACCCTAAATCACCTCGCAATCCGCAATTTATGTAAAGTCACAGTTTATTTATCTTAGGTATACTTCATGTAATAGTAGCCTAGGCTATATAAGTTACTGTTTATTTAATTTTCTTAAATTTCTACTATTTTCTAGAAGACCCTGTATAAAGCCCATGCAAATTTGAAAGACAAAACCATTATACTTTTAATACATAATATGCAATATCAAATAAAATCGTGATATAACTCAAGCAAAAGAGATAAAAACAAGGATAAATTGTGAAGAAAAAATTTAATAACACAAAAACTAATTCTCCACTTTCAACTCTCAACTATATTATATTTTGTTAGATGCATTTTGTTCACATGACAACTCACTTAAGTTCCCAGTACATATAAAGAATACTCTGATTTGCAAACATGTCAAAGAATATTGAAAAATCGAGGGAGGTAAAAATATTTTTGATATGTATGTGTGCAAGTGTATAGTATAAGAAGAGCATCATAAAATAATATTTAATTTGTCTATATAAAATATTGCATGATCTATGACCGTGGTGCAGTTTTATAAGTTAATTTCAACTCAATATTTATTATGAATTAAAAACTATAATATAGGATTTTTTATAAAATGTTTTCTTTTATTCCTCCTTGGAGGCAATCAAATGAAATTTTCAATCATATATCAATTATATAATCAATCTTCTTCTCTATTTCTATTTTATTCTCAAGTTTTTATTTTTTTTTTTGTTAAATTGTAAATTTTCAAGATTAATTGTAATGTCTGCAATATATTTATTTACATAGATACGAAATTGTATTATTAATAAACATAGAATCCTTGAAGAAGAGACTCGCGAGTTCTTGTAGTTCTAAAGAATAAGAACGCTTATAAATATGAATGAACGCAACGATATCAAGAAATACGCTTATGTTTGACGAGAATAGAAAAATTCAAATGTTTGATTTAATGTTCAATTCATAAATATTTACAGGAGTTTAATTTTGCGTCCATTGCAAAAAGGTAATTAGCTGTTGTGAGTAATAGTTTGATTACATCTTAGGAATTTTCAGGAATAAAAATGACTGGCAGATTGTATATTGTAAAGGGATTAATTCAGAAAATGCAGAGTATAATACAAAGAGCCCTTGCAAAATCTAGTTCTATTGCAAAATTACAAACGCACAAAACTAATAGTTATACTTTAGTAAGTAAATATATTTTATATTTCTAGAAAATTTTGTTATTCCAGTGCCGAAAATCTGAAAAAAAATTTCTTAACTTTGACAAAAATTAAGAAAACCAATATGATGATTGTTAAAAATACAAATTGAAAGACGGGAAAATTAAAAATACCATCAAGCTAGAAACTTGATTTAATTTTTGGCTAATTAAGGCTAATTTATGAAAGAAGAAGCATTTGGTTAAGATTGGATTTATTGAATGTCCGATCCCTATTTCATTACCTATCTAATTCTACAAGTAATTTCCTTAAAATTTAAACTGAACGTAAATTAATTTTAGTTATACATATATGCCATCAATTAAGATTCTTCTAAGATACAAGATCCACCTGAAAAATATTAATTAAACTTTGAATTAAAATCCTATTGATTGAATAAACTATAAAATATAATTGATAATAATTGTTAAGTAATGATTTTTTTCATTCAAATTAATAGTAGACAACTTGGTAGACTTGAATAGATTTTAAAATGTTTTCATCTTTCTAAAAAAAATCAATTTTCGTAAATTTTTTTTGTCATAGATGTAATTTAAATTTTTCAATTTAAATTACATCTATGCACACTATGTTTGCTCAATAAATGTGAATGTTTCGAAATAATAAAGGTTCAATTATTGGAGAATTAAAGTAAAGAAAAAATTTTTGAAATGCTTATTGTTTACTACTGCATATTTTATTTAAGATTTTTGGGTGCGATTTGTAGATAAGAAGATAGACTTGTATAGATTATAGAATTGCATTTAAAATTAATTGTACTGAGTGATTGAAAAATTTACAATAAGTTATTGAGTTATGTTGGCTGGCTTATACGCCCGGCACAAAGATGTCGCTGAATTAATACTACATAATTCCAATTTGATTCAAGTTTAGAATTGCCATGGTCTTCATAGAAAATCTTAGCGCTAACATGGTTGTTAAGGAAATTCGTTTGTATATGTTATGATTTGTTTCCATTCGATTCAAGATAACCATTTATATGAAATTTTTCATTCAAAATCAAGAAATTTATATAAGAGTCTTAAATAGAATAAGTCAAAAATCATATGATACACAAATTTTTAAGCCCAGTAAAGCTTTTGCTTAATTTTTAGGTTGATGATTTTGAAGAGAACCTTGTAAGCCTTTAATTATTTTCAAGTATCTTACGCTAATTTAACAAATCTAATCTTTGCACACAATTAAAATATTCTAATGCATACACATACACACATGTGTTATTAAGTGTACAAGAATGTAATTTGAAAAAAAACAAACCATCCTAAGTAAAACTGTTTATTGCTTCCAACTCAACTAAATTGATTTATCTATACAATTTTCTATTAAATATTAATTCGTGTTCATTAGATGGAACACATGTTCCTAAAAATTGTAATAAATCTGGTGTTTTTCGTACAGTTTGACAATAATCATCATATGATATTCGACCATCTTTATCAATATCAAAACGTTTTATTATTAAATCAACCATATCTAATGTTAATTCTTCAGTATCATCTTCTTCTTCAACAACACAACTTGATATAAAAATTGTTATGACTTCACGTGTTAAAAATCCTGAATCATGTAAATCATAAACTCCAAATACATATTCCATTAAATCATCTAAAGAATCTGTTGTACAAATCATATATAAATTTAACCAACTTTGAGGTTTCACATATATTACAATAGCTTCATTAACTGTTAATTTCAATATAATTCTTTCGATTATTCTTAAATCATAAATTTGAAAATAAATTGCAAAGAATTCGGCAAATTGTCTTTTTGTCATATATTTGGCTTTTGGTCCATTTGCTAAAACAAATTTATGATAAATCATTAAAACAGTTTCTAATTCTTTTTCATTGAATAGGCCTTTTTTCAAATATTCTCGTATAATATCGTAATAAATATTTCGGAAACGTGCATTTTGTACCTCATCTAATGTTATATCGATTTTCATTTCGATTGATTCACCAAATTAATTTTTATGAATTTTTGGGTTTTTTATCCGAGAATTTGAAAAGAAAAATATTGAGGATGACTGACTATATAGTAAAAATGTATTTAAAAAAATTGATAAAATGAAAACTAAAATATTTTTTTAAAATTTAATGACAATTATAAATGACAATAATAATTTATTTTCTTGGTTACTGGGTATAAAAATAAAATGAACTATAAGCTTCAATCTTTATTCCTGGAAAAATTTCAGTTAGATATTTCAAGTATAAGGAGATTAAATTAGGGTCTTACAGACACGAATTTACTTGGAGTCCGGTATTAGATAAATCATAAATTTGGTCATATTAATCGTTAAGAAAATATCTTTATTATTTTCAGGAACGCATGTCGCAATTACATAGTACCATCTGTACCTTAAGACTTTGCTTTTCCCATTGTTTGAATTGATAACACCTCAAAATTTACTCGTACATAAATGTCAGGTTTAAGACCTTCAAATATACATGAATTTACTCCCGGGAAATTTTTAAGCTTTTTTCGAATAAATCATTCAACCTGACAAAAATTGTTTCGCCAACCACTCTCGGAATATATTTTAATTATTTTCAGAGATGTCGTCAACTAAAAAAAATTGTCGCAGTACTGGGAACTTTAATAATTTTATTAAAATGGCAAACATAACAAGTGGCAAGCCTTTGTAATTGACCTGGTAGTGAGAGTGTTAAGCTATTTAGATCTGTCTATACTATTACAATTAATTTTTTTTTTGGGGTAAAAATTATATGAAATTACAAACCAAATTTTTACCTATCCCGCATAATCCTTATATTTAAATTTCTAGATCATTAAAATTGAATAAATTTTTTACATGAGATTCATTTAGTAATTTCTACTCATTTCAACTAAATTAAGCAAGACATACTCGTACTTTAAATGCAGCAGTCGAATTCGATGATTGAAAAACAAAATATATTTAATATTTTATACACAGAGGTCAGACTCGGTCTCGGAATCGAGGTGTTTTTTATGGTGCACAAGCCACATCACAAAATTTTCGTGATTTTGAGGTTTCGGCACGCTTGTATCTCTCATTTTTTATGTATCACATAAGTGACATAGTTAAGATTCTGTATTAGTTCGAATAGTTCTAATTGGAATAAAAATTTTTTAGGATTAATGATGTCGAAACCACTTGTTTTGCGAGTTAAAATTTTTATAAATTTGTTTTTTTTGGATTATATTTTTATTTCTGAAGATCTAATTAACATTTTTTAACAACTTAAAACCTATTAAATTGTTATAAAATTAAAACGGCTTAAAAATCGCTTAGGTTAAAAAAAAATTATTTCTAATTTCTTGAGAAAATTTTTTTATTGGGTGTTGTGTTTTTATTTTCTTCTGTTTAATCAAATGATCATAAAGCCCTAATTAATTTTCATTAAATAACATGTAGCAGAGGGCAATAGCAAAAAGAGCAAAAAACACATCTAAATACACTTTTTTTTACTTTTAATCCGCGCCTATTAAAAATAACGTAAATTTCAAAATTGATTGGAAAACAGGGTTTAAGATAATAATCATAAATATTATAATTATCATATTAAATTAATTTAATTTTTTTTTTTGAGAAATTTTGTAAAAAAAAAAAATTCATAAAATAAAAATTTTCTTTTATTTATTCTTACAAATTTTTTAATAAAATTAACATAAATTAAAATATTTGTAAATTATTTTTTAATTTTCACTACCAGTTTACAGTAATAAAAGTATGCGGAAGCTAATGTAGCAGCTATTTCTGCGGGTTTAATATATTGTAGAGTAAATAAAGTTATTGGAATTTATGACTTATTTTATTCACTTATATAGGATACTCAAGTAATATGCACAACATGGTAATTTTGTGTGGTGATAAGCAAAAAATGTGTAAGTCGAGTATTGGTAATTTTCTCCTTAGCTCGCATTTTCTAAAGTTTAACAATTCTTCAACTTCTTTAAAAGCTTTTTCGTTATTTTGGGTCGGCCCTCCACGATCTGAGGCACCAATAACACTTGTCTTGCGTCGTCTATGCGTTTAATCCTATTCTTTTTAATGAAGAGTTTAATCTGAATTATTTGCAAAAATATTTTAGTTTAATCTGCCCATTCAGTGCGAAAGATAGCGGTAGAAATGAGAAGAGATATAGTTCTTTACATAAAAATTTGTTGACATGTTCAATTTGGTCAGCTATACGTTTGACAAACTTTATCTTGGTAATTAATTTAAAGTAAATTTTTACGCCTATACTCTTTCGAAATTTTAATAATTTCCTTCACTTTTCGAAGCTTATAGATAAAATAACATCAAAAGCTACCATTTTGTATAAAAAGCAGATATATACTTAAACTTTGAAATTAATTTATTTGAAATGCACCTTATTTGACTTATAGTAATGTTTTCTTTAACACCACAGAATTATTATTGAATGAAGAAAATTATGTAATATCGTCCTAAAAAAATTTTATTGATTTTTATTATTTAATAGATTTATTTGAACGTTTACTTAGAGAAGTTGATCAGACCAACTTTAGGTTGTGTTTAGGTTTAGTATAAAATATATCAGTTCCTTTTAGTTTTTGTTATTTCAGAAAACAACGTGATTAAGGTAATCATAGGTCTTTAAATGTGCTGAAATTTATTGTTTGTTGTTCCAGTCATTGTTGTCCTGCTAGTTTTCGTCCTGTTATGAATTTCTAAAGAAATGGAAGACAATTTTCTTACACGATTAACATTATAGGTTTATGATACTAAATAAAGTAGATTCGCTTACAATAATAATTACCGTTTTTTTGACAATACCTAGTACGCAATAAGTACATGTAGTTCAAAAAGTAACTGGTACGCAATAAGTAGATGTAGCTCAAAAAATTTGATTAAAACTATTGAAAAAACATGAATTAAAATGTTTTAGATGTAGAGAATATTGTGGTCAATGAGTCAATATGTAAGAAATAGAATATTAATATAATAATTTCGTTGACAAATTTGATGGATGCTGAGTCCCTTTCACAACGGCTAAAATAATTAATAATTTTTACATTAAAGTATAAAAGATATGTTACTTACCAATATTCGAATTTATAATATGGTTATGATGGGCCTGTTATATTTTATATTCCACATTGTATTAAAAAAATAAATTCGTGCATTAACAGAGCAATTCAAAGGCGTGAATTCATTAAAAATCAAATGATTTTAACGACTCTATTAAAATAAGTGAAAATTATAAGGTTATTTTCAAATACTAAATTGTATAAGAGTATTGTTTACATAGAAAAATTTTAACGACTTCATATATGCTGAAATATCCAACTGTGTTACGACTTACGAATAATGTAAGAAAATAATCTTCAAATATTATTTTGATGATTTTCAGTTTTTTGTTTTTCTCTTAACATTTTCCATTATTATTTTTCCAACTTTTAAATTTTAAAATTTTATTTAATTAACTAGTATTTTACTATCTTTATATATGGTTGGTACTCGATGCCATATTTGTACAAGTATGATGATTTTATTTTTAGTTGAAATTTGTGGTTTTGTTTTTTAAATTTTCTTTTCTATTTCTTTTCATGAATACGCAAATCATTAATTAATTACTGAGCAGAATGCTTTTAAATCATGCTTACAATTAAATTTTTATGAACTTAGACTAATTTTCATGAGCGTTATATTATCTAAGTAAATACTTTGAATTTAAACGATATAAATACAAAGTACTGACAAGTTGATGACTCTAATACTCTAAGAGTATAATACTCAATTTGAAAATGGTGCTCAATTTTGTTCAAATTCATGTCACATTAATAATTAAGGTTCGTTCGTTTCCATAGTAGGAAAACTCAGCTGAAAAAAAGCTATTTTCAGCTATAAATGGAGTTTGTTTAGAAGCTACTAAATTTTTTGCAATATTAAGAAAATTCGGTTCTGTCGATGATTAAAATGACAATATTGTAAAACAGAAAATGTCAATATTGACTCCGGAATCACACAAGTGTCCTTTTATATTAAATTAATTTTTGAATAATTTTTTCATAAAATTTATTATTTTAATCAAAGGAAATGTGCTGCTTTATAAATCATTGACAAAAGTTCATTTTTAATTACAATTATGATTTAAACAGAAAAAAAAAAATACTTTAAAATTAATTTACTTGACTTTTCTCTGAGTGTACGATGTAGAATTTGCTCTTGTTACTATATTTGCAATAATCAATTATGTTGTATAATATTTCAGCAAAAGCCTTCATACGAGTATTAGGCTTACAATTTATGTATTAAGATATTTTAAAGATTTTCCTTAATGTAGATAATTAAATATTGCTCTTAAGTTATAATAGAATGTTATTGATATTCATATTATGTCTGAATTTATGCACATGCATATTTTCTAAATAATTGTATATGGTTGGTCCTTCGTATCTAGCAATAATTGTATAATAATTAGCTATATAATATGAATTAATAATTACAAGTTAACCGGAATACATACTAATAGAATATGCTTATCAATCATAATATGGGAAACTATGTAACATAAATTTACATACATTTCTATGTAAATTGATTGCAATTATAGAATGCAATAAATTTTTTCTTTAATTTTTTTCGTTGCTTTTGCAAAACACATTGCATTAGATATTAAGAAAAAAATTGCTGGTTTTAAATTTACAAAGTATAATAACCCTTTCAGAACCTTCATTTCATACACCGTTCTCATTGGAATAATAATTGAGAAAGCAAAAAATAAAACATTTTTTTTTCTCTTTTTTTTTTGTTGTTTTTTTTTTATATAATAATAATTAAACACGCTTATAACAACAGTTAAATGAGTTCAGGCGACATTTACATAACCAGACCTTCAACTGTTCTCTCTCTCGCATTCTTATTCCCTATGTCATTATGATTGATTATACAACATTGCGCGCATTTTAAATTGTTTATTGTAAAACAACTTCTTC